AAGTTTTTTTTATTGATAAAACATTTAAAATCTGAAAACTTTCCACATTAAATGTGAATGTTTCGCGCATCTACTTGTCCTTGAGTCCCAGTGTCAGTAACCACAAGCAATGGTGCTGGCTTCAACAGGGTTTTACTTCCATATAAAAACAGTCTTGATGCCAAACAAAGGGAATATCACTTGTGCCATTTTAAAAATATTTCTTAACTGGGGTTTAATTAACCAGAGTATAAAATGACAAGAAAATGCATATTAAATTGGGTAACACAGACTCTTTGCTTTAATTAAATATGTCAGTCATTGTCACTATGCATTCACTCCCATTTAAGCCCATTTAGCTAGGAAACCCCTTAGATATAGATGTATAGTGATAAACAACACAATCAAAGATCAAATTGATCTTTGGAAAATAACTTTTTAAATACAATCAAGGTTAAAAGAAAGTACACCTTCTATCATTTCTATGCTTTTACATTTCAGGACGAAATAAAAAATTTTCTTGTCCATAGCAGGTCTTACACTTGGGTAAATACAACATCAGACCAATGACTCATGGTGTATTGCACCACATCATTATTTAGTCAAACAAAGCCAAAATGCAGATTGTGAAAAACTAAGTACAAGTATTCATCTCTCGCATTTTTTGGAAGAATTTTGGTCCACTCATCTTTACATTGATGCTTCACTTTGTTTATACGCAGCTTTCTTAACCAGCGGCATTCCAATCACGTTGAGATCTTTCTTCCTTGGCATTGCGTTAACACTCACCTGAATGCTCCAAACCTGTAAAATGCCAAAACATTAAGGTGCTCACACTTCCTGATATTTGCCGCTTAGTGTCTTAACCTCTATGGAAGCAAAGGGTATGGTTAGTTTTTCACATGGTGCTTCTGCATTTTGACTAAATCGTTAAATAAATAATGGCAGGCTGTAATATATAATATGTTTTCTAGCTCATCTGAAGTTGTATTTAAATAATTTTAGGACCAAACCAAGGACCAGTTTATTTGTTATAGTATCCTGAATGTTATATGCAGTCTTGTTTACACATTAAACATATTGTATGTTCATCTATGTTTACTAAGCTGACATTTTGTTGTTTAATTGACCAGGAAAAAAACACTTTATAAATCCTTTATTTGGCATGCTTGTTGTAAAATGTCATGTAGGTAAATGGCTTTTCTGTTTGTTCAGGCATGATGGCAGCTCTTGCTGGCAGTTTTGAGATTGCATGCAAAGGAGTGATACAGATTGTATTTGACTAAAAACAGGAACATATTTAGAATTTTTCACCTCTACTTTTCATAATGAAATCCAGTAATAACCACACCTGTGTGAAGGTGCGAAAATACCTCATACAGCACTTGTTTCATGGCATGAGTCAGTCATTACTCAGCCTTCAGGGGTTTCCCCTCTGTGGCTGTCTTAGGCCATCATCAGAAATGACCCCCGCAAAGGAAAATCAGATTTTTTTTTTTTCTCCATCAATAATGTTTTTATCTGTGAAACAGTTTTGTTATTTTGTGCCTACAGCCTCTGGTATAACCTTGCGACCTTTATTTCCAGTTAACTGTTGCTACTCGTGATGTTACGGGCATTTGTTACATATCTTGCTCTGAATTTTCCATTGGTACCTTTGCTCCTTTTCTTTGTTATTTAGAACCAGACAGTTTAAAATTTGTAATAGAGTTGAGCATAGTAAGATTGTAATCAAATAAAATAACTAAATATTGATTTGTAATTTTATTTCAGTAGGTATAGTAAGAAAATATTAGATTTTTAATGAAGCTCTAATATCATTTCCTCTTTTTATAGTTTTGCTGTCAAATTAATCTGGCAAAGAGCAAAAGCATTTGTGGAAAGTTATGGCGATAGGGTATTTTGACAGTTTATTACTATGACATTTATTAAAGTCCCAACCCAGGCGATGTCAAACCACAGCTCGTATTTTCAGCATTTCCATCAGCACATACACATCGTTCTGAAACCTGTTCCCATGTAAGAGAAATGTCACTCACAGTTCTATCGAAACGCCAAAGCAGAGACCGCTGCCGAGACACAGAAGCCGAGTTGAGGTAACATGTTCCCAACAGGGACACATCACACTAGACCACATCCGTTATTATTCACATGCTTACTAAGAGGAAACTCTAAATACAAGCCATCATCGGAGTCCCGTCTTCATATTTGTGATCATAGGTGTCAAAGTCCCCACATCTGTGGTGTTAGCAGTGATAACTTTTGTTTTCCTGAGAAGTGGACTGAATATCGCTGATGACTGGCTCACTGCAAGAAGAGCTCAACCTTAGGAATGGCAGTAAAAACTCAACTATTACAAGTGTTCACACAAAAACGGGACACGAGGAGATATCTTTGTATCAAGTCATTCATTTCTTTAAGTAAATGATTTTCTATATTTAATAAATATGTTTTGACATCTACTTAATAACATTACCAAAAAAAGATGAAATATTGTGTTTTGAGTTTTTTGTGGGATTTGTTCAGCATTGTTCAACCCTTCATTGTGTTCATACAGTTAATCAATTGACTTTTATTTATATAAATTCACAACAACAATTGGCTCACATCAGTTTATATTGTAAGGTAAAGAAAGTTTTCAAGTTTAAAGTTTGCTCTTTTTTTTAGTTATATAAAATATTTCTTTGTTTGTAAGGGGGAATAAATAAGAGAAAACTCAGTGAAAAGTGTTGGTATCCACCATACCATTGTTATAAACGTAAGCCCGGGATTTGACAGACATTGCAGTCTAATAATTAAGGCACTCACGCAGTAAGGTAGTACATTATTATTTACTTTGCACTCATCCTCTCCCACATGTGAAGTTTTGCACTAGCTTCTCATGGGAGTAGCAGTGGAGTTTAAGCTCTGTAGTGAATACTTTTGGGCTTCTGATACCATCTTTCCTCAGACCTGTCAGTTGTTACCACCATTACTGTGAGATTTCATTATCAGTTAATCCCAGACTGCTGCATAGCAGAGACAAAACCTGATCAAATGAGGGGTAGAATGTCCACACACAGAGGCCCAGATCAAGGATGCTTCATTTTTTTTAATTTTTATTCTTATCCAAATCAACTAATACTGATTGGATTTTGCATCCCAGGCTGTAGTGCATTACATAATGTGTTTTGCCTTTTTGTAACAAAGATTGTACAATAATGAAAAGCTAAGAGAGCTAACAGCAGATTGGAATATTTTAAACATAAATGCAATAAAGGGAAGTCATCCACTTTTTTCACTGCCATAATCACTTGTTTTGTTTACACAGATGCAGCAGATGGTGAATTCAGATTCTCGGTTTACCAGCAGCCAACAGCCAATTGAAGCAGCGCTTGGGCCCAAGAGCCAATCAGGCATGAGCCAGCAAAACCAGTTGTCCACCATCAACCAATCCCAGCTGGGACTGAGTGGGAACTCTGCTACCCATAATTCCCCTTCACCTCCTGGAAGTAAATCTGCCACTCCATCTCCCTCCAGTTCAGCACACGAGGACGACAATGATGATGGACTCAGGGTAACAACACACAGACACATGGACGCAGCATCTTCTGTTCAAATGACTCACATCTTGCTGGGCTGTAACACCCAGTTGTGTTTTCTTTTGTGAGTGCATAGATACTAGAGAGCTATTTTAATAATGTTATGTGTCATCATGGAGGCATTCTCCATGCATATCAACTACACAGAAATCAGCTCTCTCGTCGTTGACTGTCTCACACCGCTCCAAACTAACTGCTCGTTTTCTGGGGAAATGAAACTATTACTGTGTTGCTGAATAATATTTACCAACTTGGTCACACACTATAGATAGGAAACGGTATAAGCCACTGTGCAGGTAATTTTTTCTTCAGGAAGGGAAGGGTGGAAAATAAAAGAGCAAAAATGAGTCTGATACTCATACACATCATAACAGGGGCACCCCTTTATTGAGCCGTATGCAAGCTCAGGAAAACCCAGCGTGCTTATTAGACAATGCAGATTAATTTATCTGGCGGCTTTTACTCACAGATGGTTTAGAGTGCTTTAAGGAAGAAAAATTATTCATAAGAGCAATATTAAAGGCATTAATTTACCATGATAAAGAAAGTGCAGTTGTGGTGCAGCATTACAGGCTAAATATGACCTTCTTCATAATCCAAGTGAAGGATCCAAAGATTTTGGTTATGCCATTGGCCAGATGGTGATGTTACGTGAATCAGATAACAGCAGGAGGATTTTTTTTCCTATGATGTAAGGCTGCAGACAGATGAATTTGATTAAAGCACATACTGTGCTGATGAAGCAGCTTAGATGAGTTTGTTTTGGTTAAGTGAAAATGTATTTCTCTACAGAAAATCACTGCAACAGCTAGCAGCCATCAAATCATAGAGAAAGCAGCACAACTGATACCACTTTAATATAATTTGTAGACACAATAATGTTGCTCAAGGGTCATTATTGCAGCTTGACCAATCGTGACATTATGATGTCATAACTTTGCACCCTGGGTCCAGTACTTTCCTTCACTTTCCAGTTTGTGTGTAGTATTATTTTCAGACTTGCTGTTTTCAGTCAAACATTAATTACTTAATTATGTTTTAACGCCCTTTCTCAACATTTCTTTATATCATTTCTTGTCATTTTTAAAGTGTTATTGAGCACTAGTTTTCCAGCTTTCTGAATGTCTTTCAAAGTTATGGTTTGGACATTGGCTGCTTTTTCACTCATTTTCAGAGAATTGTTCACTAAGCCACTTAATAACACTGACCTCAAGTGATGAACCAGTGTTGTGTTTAAACATATTAGATAACATAGCAATGACAAAACTCTAAATTGTACCTCTAGGCACATCGTTACTAGCAGCCTGTTGCAAAAACATATGACTACATACTACTTCTTTAGGTAAATCCATGAAAATTGTCAAAGATGACACAATTTGACAGGCATTTTTGCACTAACAAGGTGGTTTCCAAAAAGCTATTAGCCAATAACTTGACGCATCTCAGCATGGTATGCAGTGTGCCCTTTAAACATGTGAGCAAACTGCACATCAGCCCCCAACGTCATGTGCACCTCAAGCACACATTTATACAAGGATTTCTTTAACAGTATAGAAAATTCTTCTTCCTCAGCTGGGCTTATGTTGTTATGACATAAAGTATATGATCTGAACACTGTTAAATGATAATCAGTAATTAGTGAAAGTTTCTCAGAAGAATAACTTAGAACCATATAGACAATAACGTTTGAGCAGATGTGCTGCTTTTGCTGAGGTATTATGGCGACTTCACCCGTTTAGCGCAGCAATGACTGTAACCACTCTACCGAGAGGCTCTTCTGCTGGTGGGGACTTTCCCTAAGACCATCTCTGCGGTTTACTTATTGCTTAACATCAAAGATTAGCTGAGGACATGTTTTAAAAACAGTTTTGGTGTGAATTGTTCAAATGCAAACTTGCTGACAACAGAAAGAAAATCACTCACTCTACAGTTTTTAAGGATATATTTAATTTACATTCTAACATTTTATGCTTTACGTGTTATATACAAATTTCTCTTTGTCAGTCTATATCGGGGGTATCCAAGTAAAATTTAAGGAGGTCCAGTTAGAGAAAATTTCCTCAAACATTGGTCCAGAAAATCATAAAGTTCCACATAATTATATATATGTAAAATATGTTTTCAAGTAGACTGACAGTTGTAAAAGAAAGTACAATTTAACAGTATTTTAACGTTTGCAATTAACTTTTACAATGGACTGGCAGGTACTCTAACAATAAAATAATAATAAAATGTTCTTTTCTCATTTCAAGTAAAACAGGATTTGGAGTTTTTTGTTGTTTTTTTTTAAAAAAAAGGTGTCTTCAAATAAAATGTTTAATTTTGAGAAATGAAAAGGTTTCATTTAAGTTTCCTTTTTTCTTCTTTTTCCTTAACTACACTTCACATGCAAACCATCTCGGTGTTAACACTCCTTTTCCCTCTGTCTGTTTCTCTGAATTACTGTTTTCACTTTTTTGATTGGCTGAGATTGTTCTATGTTTTTCCTTAATAATTAATTACACTGACAACTGTAAAGGCAAAGGAGGTTAAAATAACCTTACCGTAAACAAGAGAAAAGCTGAAAAATAAAAACAGTCTGTCAAAATCTAGTAATAGTCGCAGTCCGCCTATTGGTGACCTAGGATCTATATATTCATCCATTCACATTTTCTCTATATACACTGTTAACCTTTATTCTGTTTCGGCAGGGAGAGAAGAGGCCAGCAGCAGCGGACATCTCCAAGAAACCGAAAACGCCAAAGAAAAAGAAACGAAAGGACCCCAATGAACCAGTGAAGCCAGTGTCTGCCTACGCGTTGTTCTTCAGGGACACCCAGGCTAATATCAAGGCACAGAACCCCAATGCCACCTTTGGGGAGGTGTCAAAAATTGTGGCCTCCATGTGGGATGGTCTGGCAGAAGAAGAGAAACAGGTAAGGGGAGGGAAGGCTGTACTAAAGTAGGAATAAGGGATAATAAATAGGAAAAGACAAATTTCACTGTATCTCAGTAGTTCAGTTTTTTGTGACATCTCCCTTCATATGTGAAACATTTCCAAAAATGTCATTAGCACCACCCCACCCCCATGACTCATATTGATTCCGATGAGTGTCACTGCTTATATTTGGTGGTTTGCTGCACAAAATTGCAACCAAACTGATAGTAATTCTGCAAAGTTCTAGTTAAAACTGATACTGTGAAGGCAGGCTCTTCACTTTTATAGAGCTCATTTTGAAACAAAATGATTAACACGGCCCAAAGCAAGAACATCAGAAAATCAAATACTGCTAAGAACATGAGCATAACACACACTAAAAATGATTAAGCAGAGAGAGAAAACATATTAAAACAGATCAAAATCAAATCAGAAACGGCTTACCGATAAGTTAGTCTTCGTTGGTCTGTGAGTGACCGACTTAACCTGAATACTCAGGCAGTTCATCCCACAGCTTAGGGCTCTGACAGCAAATGTCTGCCAGCTGCAGTTTTAACAGATGTCCTCTGTTCAAAGATCTCAGGCTCTGTCGAAGCTCATGTCTGACTAGCAGGTCATATAGAGGACGGATGCCACGAAGATCCTTAAAGATCAGCAGTAGCATTTTAAAAGCTGAGTACCAACAGTGAAATGAAGCTAAAACAGGTGTACTCAAATTTAACAGTAAGTCGTTTTTTCTGGTACAGAACTGATTCTCATTCCTCTCATCTGTGTTTTGTATTTGGTATCAGTTTACAGTAAAATCCAAAATTAGGATGCAAAATTGAGGTTGGGATGATGGCAAACACTATTTTTATATTTGTGAGAGAATGTTGACATTAGTGATTTGTTTATATCACCACTGTCTAAATAAATCAAATCAAATCACTTTTATTGTCACATCACGTGCGCAGGTACACTGGTACAGTATATGCGAGTGAAATTCTTGTGTGCGAGCTTCACAAGCAACAGAGGTGTGCAAAAAAAAAAATACAATAACATAAAACAAGCAAAATATAAGAAAGGCTAAATCTGAGAGTAATAAATATATGTACAATATAAGAGTGTGTGCATTACTGGATGTGTATACTAAATATGTTTTTCTACGTGTGTGTGTATATACATATTTTACAAATTAAATAGAGTAAATAATAAAATAAAATATATAAAATATGCAGAGGTTGGTAGTTGAACATGTGCAAAACAAGTGGCATTTATATACAGTGTGGAGTGCAGATATAGCTTCAGAGAAGCACTAGCATTACTGCACTCTTGGCCTTGAGGCATAACATGCTCATTTTATTCTGTGACATCATGAAGGAAGCAAATGCAGAGTGCGTGAAAAAGGCGATAAGTGTCAGCATGTTTGTGACAGGAATCAACCGTTTATTAGGGGAATGTGAGCTCTAACAATACCAATGAGATTCACAGTCATTAATGTGAACCTAACAGTTATACAAGTGGCATGTCAGCTGGACTGATCGCTGCTGGGCTTCAGAGAGTATTGGCACATGCTTTGGGAATTGATAAATTTGTGTTATTAGAAAAAGGCATTAGCTCAGCACTAGAGTGATATTATTATTATTCTGATTAAATCCAACCTAATTTTTGTAGTTGTGCCTTTTGTTTATCAAATGCTGTGATGAAGGTTCACACTTTCAGAGTTAAATGTTTGCGTTTCAGGTGTACAAGAAGAAGACTGAGACAGCTAAGAAGGAGTATCTCAAACAGCTGGCTGCCTACAGAGCCAGTCTGGTTTCACAGGTGCGCTACACACACTGATACACGCCAAGTTAAGTTACGGATTATAAGAGTGAAGGGTCAGAAAATTCCTGATTTTCAGTTTTCCTTTTTCTTCTTCTACAGAGTTACAATGACCCATCTGAAATGAAGCAAACCCACTCTTCCTCCTCATCTTCCCCCTCTTCTACCTCCATGATTACACCCAAACATTCAGTGTACCCTGGTCACCCAGGGCAGCACCCTTCCTCCAGCCCACTCAGCCACCCTCTCCCTCCTCATCACCATCAAGGCATGTACATGCCCTACCCTCACCCCTCACACCCTTCCCACACCTCGAGCCCTGGCCTCAGCCCCCATCTTCCCCCTCCCCACCCTCAGATACATCCCCAGCTCCAGGCTCTGTCCTCCAGAGGGACGGTGCCACGAGCCAGCGTCCCCCATCAGGGAGCCATGTCCCTTGGCACTGTAGCGGCCGCATCCACCCCTCCTCTCCAGATCAGCCCTCCGCTCCACAGCCAGGCACACCTGGGAGGGCTGCACAATCCACACCATCAGCACCAGCAGCTCAGTGGCCACTCAATGGGAATGGCACACTCCCCTGCTATGACACAGGTCAGTTGCACTTGATAAATCTTACTATGATGATAATGATACATGCGTGTGTATGTATGTGTGTTTCCTAATTTCTCCTACAATCAATCTGCAGGGACAAGTCGCTGCCCTGTTTCCATCAGATGTGGGTCATAAGGTCATTTATGTGTGTGTTGGACCGTAATGGTGACGCAGCATTTGATTCAGTTTACTACAAGATTTTGTTCACTTAGAATGATTCCATGTCTTAATTATATGTATCTGTTTTAGCATAAATCTTAAATAAGTGTGGACAACTCCAAGAACCCGCTGAGCAACCGTTGTGTTTGTGTGTTTGATATCGGTTTGATGTGGAAGTAGGAAAAAAGTGCAATGCACCAACCGCATTTGCTGCATAATTGGCAAAAGTCATTTTTGCTAGTAATACTTTGAGATGGTGTGAGGGGTGAGGACAGCTACAACACACAGATACTGCTGTTTAACTACATGTAAGAACATGTGGTTACCCATCACTAATGGTGTTGCTGGCAGGTGTTTGAAGTCTTTTGGCACAGGTACCATGGCTTTCTCCATCACTGATGTGGATTTGCCTGAATGTTAGTGATTAAATGTCTAAATGGCAGAATGTTGTCACTTTAAGATTAGTTAAACCGACAATGTTACACAGCTGAAAAAGGACTTACCTCGACTGTAACAGAGTCAATCAGTCTGTCAGTCAGCCTCTCTGCCTTTACTGTCAGTGTTAGCTGCTCATTTAGTATTTCTGCCAACAGAGGGGAAAAAGAAAAGATGAACAGCTATGATATGAATTCATGGAAGACGGTTTCCTCCAGAATAGTTAAAATCCAAAGATTACCACTGAGCCTCACTTCCCATTTGATCCCCCTTCCTTTTTATGGTACACTTTTTAATCCCCAACTCCCATAATCCCTTTCTCTCCTCCATTTTGCATATTTTTAGAAAAGAGAGAACCGAAAACACAGAAAAGTAAAAGAGAAGGCAAAAATGAGAGGACACAGCTACAGAGCGCTAAAAGTTTTTTTTTTTTTTACTGAGTCAAGAGTGAGAACTGATGGGGGAAGGGAGAGAGAGAGAGAGACAAAAGAGGCAGATGGGGTCTTTGTGAAGGAGTGAAGGAGAAGAATTTGCTCAACAATAGATGAATAGGTGAGGTAGAGGAGGAGGGGGAGAGGAGAGCAGGGGGAACCAAACCACCTGCTGTCCTCCTCTTTCTCCTCTTTCACTCACAACACTCAGATTAACTTCCCTTTCAGTCCCCCCTCCCCCACATACACACTTTTGTCATTTTACACACTCATTTTTCCATCTCTCTCCTCCCTCGAGTATCCTATGGTTAGAGACATGCTTGCTGATGTTTTTCCCCTCTTTTCCTCTTCCTCCTAACTTTACATTTTCACTTTTTTCCCTCCCTCCTCCTGGGAGATAGAATCAGAAAAGCTCTCAAAATTCTGTAATTACTGCTCATGAACCTGCGACCCATCCCTCTCCTTTTCATGTGAGTTTCATTCAGAACTTCATTCCTATCTCTGTTCATCTGAAACCATTCTGCCAAAGATGTGCTAATAGATGGCTTTCAGAACCCATCAGCTGTCCATGGACTAATTCAAGTTGAAGGGGGAAATAAACAGTATATCATTAAAACTTTCCTTAATGACACTTTAATGCAAGAAAAAAAGATTTTACTGTTTACCTGCTTTTTTCAAGTACTGTGACTAAATTTTCACTAAAGTTATGTTTGGCACAGTGAGCCCTCTCAGACTATTCAGGACAACTTCTCCTTTAAACCTTTCATTTTTTTCTTGTTAAACGCTTTTATTGCTATTGTCTGAATGTGTAACAAAAGAGAGACCCCAGTATTTTTCTTCAATGCTACTTTTCCTGTCTCACCATCAACAATGAGCAGCTGTGACATAGACTCGTTCTATGACACAAACTCCACATAAGGACAAAAACACTTTATTATTATTTTACTAGCAGCAATATTAGCAGGCAAGCAAGTCACAGTGCATTTGTGACCTAAGTGGGGAAATAGGTGAAGTAAGTTAATCTTTTTCCACCTTTAGCAGGAACTGTTTTGTGTTACAGGTTGTTAAAATAATATTTATTTATTTATTTATTTAATTGTCATCGTATTGTTGTTGCTGTGCATGCTAGGAATCATAAATGCATGGCATCGCTACATAAGTGTAAAAATGTACTTTATGGTTGTCGCACTGGGTCTCAAGCGGTTTGTTAGCACTAGCAGGTAAGCTAACTTTTTGCCAGATAAAAACTAATTTTATCTATGAAATCAAACCATCTCATCAACCAGTATAGATAGTTAAATACAATACTGGTGCTATCGGTCATCAGCAGGGAATTTGAAACGTGGGGCTTGGGTTTAAGAAGTTTAAGTTTGGGTTTAACATAAACTTTTGGCTTTTGATAACGCTACCATGTTTGCTAACATGCTAACGGCGGTCTGGCGAGGAAGGAGTGGCTAGTAGGTCCAGCGGGCATGTGGTGTGGAGGTTAGCCGGACAACTCGGAGGCGAGTCACTTAAATAGAACAAAAGACCTTTAGTTGGTTATATTAACAGAACAAGACCATACAAGCTAGGTGTCCACGGCTCTACTTTATTCGTACATGCATGTGCCGGGGGTAGGTAGTCGCCGGCGCCAGCCCATTACAGTGGTACGGTCTCTCTAAACAGATGCTTGGCTGTAATGACGGCCTCTGCACTCACACTAGGAGACGCTCAAACTACTACAATAATACGACGACACTCCCTAGCGGTGCTATGTCATAATAAGGGTTGTTAGAATGGACAAACTACAAACTATCTCTTAAAATAAAATTTCATTTAACATTGCATACTTACGGAGCCCCTCTGATGACATGGTCCAAAAAATAAATAAATTGTGGCCACAAAATATACGAAATGGGTATAACGTGCCCACGAAATACTTATTTGTGGCCACAAAATACTTATTTGTGGCCACGAAATATGTATAACATGCACACGAAATGCTAATTTGTAGCCACGAAACACTTGACCGATAACTGTGATCTTTCCCAGCCCCTTGCAGTTGGTTGACAATAAAATCGATCCCGGCGTCCAGGTCGTACTTACGTCTGTAAAGCAACTGGCTCTCAATATCCTGTTTAAATGTCTCTCCATAATAATGGTTCCTTGCATTGCCAGGCTTTTCAAAATGCATTTGTAGCTCATTCCCAGCCTAAAATAAAACTCAATCATACCGTCTCTGTCCATGGTTTATAGGTTTAGCCTACTCTCATGCTTATGTCTCTACGCAGCTGTCCAGGAATTGTATCAATATGATGTGCACACATTATCTATTTCGTGGCCACAAATGCGTAATTCGTTGCCACGTTATACCCAATTCGTGCCCACAAATTAGCATTTCGTGCGCACGTTATACCTATTTCGTGCCCACGAAGTAGTATTTTGTGGCCACAATTTATTTATTTTTTGGACCATGTCATCAGAGGGGCTCCGTACATACTAACCTTCTTGCTAACATTATTGCTTTCATCTAAGTGGAAATACTAGTTGGCTAGCTTGCTAAATTATTTCACCAGCTAATGTGATCTGACACATACATTTATATCTGGGGCCACAATATGTTACTGTTTTAGAACCCTCCACTGCGGCGCTCACAAATCCTGTCCTGTTGCAAGCTTTGAAAGTGGCCACTCAGAACAAAGTGGGCTTGTAATTGTGATTGCGTTAAAGAATGAATATTTTCAAGGTCTCCTTTTTTGTCTAATGCATATTTGAAATCACTAACCTGTTGTTAATGGTGCTCCCTCTTGAATTTATTTATTTATTTTAAATAAGTTATAATCGTTTTGTTTGTTTACACCTTGAGGCAGTTGTTGTTGTTGTGATTTGGCACATTATAAATAGAATTTGAATTTAATTGTTTGGGGTTGTTTGTTTGTTTGTTTGTTTGTTTAGGGCTACCTTCCCTCCCTCCAATCTGACTACCAGCCAATAGGTGGAGGTATCATGAACAGTGGAGCAGTGATGTCATCATCGGTGGATTACCACCAGATGGGTCGGCATACACCGAATCATCACCCCTCTCTGGACTGGAGCACTGATTACCATGGCAACGGGTGTGTACTAACACTGCACTGGATTGCAGGTGTTTAAAAAGAAACCCAATACTCGACAGACGTGTTGTTGTCTGCAGTGATGTTAGATGATGTGTGGTTACAGATGGCAGTGGCCACATCCGATCAAGAAAACATGGTTCATGGAGGGGAAAAAAAGTAACATCAAAGATACATTTCAAGAGCAGCAACAACCCCTTTCTGACTACACCTTTCCTGTGTGGAAGTCTGTGACATGTTATTATAATCCTGGATAACAAAACTTTTAAAAGTAACTTGTAACATAGCAGTATTAGTACCATTTAAAAAGTTGGCATGTAACATTATATTCCATACTGTAAGAAGAGAGATTGTTAGTCAAAGTTTGCGTTTAGCTTTCACTTTTGCATTTAGCATCTCTACCACCACATAACCAGCAAGAAGCTTGGTAATTTCTATTGAATTAACAGCTTTAGCCAAAGTAAAAGTTAGCTAACTGTGATTTCAGGGCTGTCCTGCCCAGTGAGCCTAACCACTAGTGTTGTGGAGCTGTAGTTAGCATTAAGGTAACTCTTCCAAATGCAAAGCAGAGCTCCTTAGCAGCTGATAGACACTTATCATTGGCTGACACAAAATAATGCAAATACTTCCACCATGGAACAACCAGCGTGTCCGTCATTGCTCACTGATTCAACTGCACTATTATTAGATGGGTTTCTAGGTGCAGCATATATTTAAACAAAATAACAGAAAGAAAACGTTACCTGTCCAGATGGTGCTGCTAAACTGTTAAAGGATAAGAGAATACAGTGAGACGATGTCAATGAAAGACAAAGGAAAGTTGGTGTTGAAAACATGATGGGAATGTGGTGTTTCTATTAGTCTTTCATATATAATAATGTGAGGAACATTTACCCACTGCTCTTGATAGCATCCAGTGAAGCAGAAGCTTTTCTATCTTAGCTAAATATAAAAACCTTTTAGCAGTAGTTCTCAGTTTCCATATGAATGTAGAAAAATGCCTAAAAGCAGATGCGTGGGATTACACCTATTAAAATGAAATACAACTGTATTAGCTGTAATATTAACCAATGTGTACTCTGCAGTCTACATTAATCACTTTAAATGCATATCACCTCGGCATACAAGAGATTTGGATTAACGTAAATTAATCTAGAGTAGAAATGACCAAAACCAGTTCATATAATCTTATAACAGACTTGATTTTTCTTGAGGCTCGTTAGGAAACAAAAGGGGAAAAACTCGTGGTCATCATTGAAACAATGAAGCGTGTCAAACATGTCCTTATTGATTCTCCTCTCTGCTTCCAGGGCTCTCCAGAGAGACAAACCTCTGTATCTGAGCTAATCTCAGGACCAAATGGCATCAACCTTCTGCCAAGCCCTTCTACTGCCACACCACAGAACCTCCAGCTTGTTCTCTCCATCCTTAAACACAGCGAGAGCCAAAAATCAGACTCACAGTGGATCGTCTAAATCCGTAATAAATTAGTTTATCTCTTAAAATAATAGTTCCAGCAACAGAAGAATGGAACATTTCTCGAGAATGCTGACAAAACATCTGCATTTGGCGCTTTCTACTGTCTGTTTACTGCATTGTACCACCATTGAACTGAAAATGTGTACACCAGCATGGAGAGGTATATTGGTGTATATACTCCAACCTTTGTCTGATTTCCCATCTGCCCCAGTTCCTCTTTTGCAAGGATGGTGTTTACAATTAGTTGCTGTAAATTGCTGTAACATAATCTTTTCAGTTGTCCATATAAGGACAATTACTCGTTTCTTTTTTCTTTAACTCATACTTGCGGTCTCCTTCTATAGCCAAAGTCAGAGGAACGGCAAAAAAAACAAAATGTTATTAACCAAATACGACACAAATTGTGTTTGATAACTGGTTCTTTAATCACATGAACGTTAGCCCTCAGTTTGATGCCGTCTGGTCTGAAGTCCCACTCGGTGTCTGCAGAGACAGAGAACATATGGTTACTGTGAGTGTGGAACACTGCGATAATGACTGAAATCCCACCGCTTCGTTCGGCTCAAGACAAATTGGAAAAAGATCTGGAAGAGCACCTGAAGCTGTTTGTTTAACCAGGCACCGACTGTGAATAATTGTGTACGATTAAAGAACGTTTGTTGTTCTCTTGATGAAATCCACTGTATTTTAGTCCATGAAATAATAAAATGTCAAACAATTGTCTGCTGAAAAAAAACATCCCTTTGTATGATGACAGCTCCTCCTCCTGGCATATGTCTGTTGATAATATTGATTTGGATCCAAACTGTGTGAGTGTGTGAAGTGTTAATGAGAACGCACAAGTGGGTTGCATGGTCTCCTTTGTCATCTCTATCTCTCTGTTCACAGAGGCTATTTAAGAAACTTTAACTGTTGCTGGGTTGGCTGTGTTTAAATTTGTTTTTGTTTTGTTTTTTTAAAATCAGCTTTTGTTCTAGTGTTAATGATAATGAGACATATCGCTCTCGTTCTGTATCTCTTTGTATTAATGTGTTTTTTGTTTGTTTGTTTTTTTGGCAGATGAAAGCACTCTGGGCAACAGCACCCATTATGGTTTCCTTATTTTTAGATTCTAATAATGTGTTTGAGAATAAAGTCAACGCTGCATTGACATGCAGTCATTACTCCAAACCTGCCTCTTTCATGTTATTTCTGAGTGCTTTGTGACAGCTGTTTTAATTAACTGCACATAATAGCACAGCCCTTTACAACTCCTTTGACACAATACACCTTTGTCTGTATCCTGCCCCTTCATTTATTTAAAATAGTTTGCAAGTGCAAAACAAATACCTTTGAAGTCTCGCAAAATAAGTATTTTTAACCTTTGTTAGGTCAAACAGAAAATCCTACTTTAGTGTTTCTTTTCTTTTGTAGCCACACAGCTTTAGTTTCTTAGATGGAGACGTCAGTGAAAACGTTAATATTTTTTAAATGGTCTAATGTATTGGCTTGTCACATTGTGTTTAGTATTGAATTTCAGATTTTTGGATGCCATTAATATTATAGGGTTAAAAATAAAACCAGCACTGATTAGCCAAAAACTAATGGACTCTTGAGGCTGATTCCAAAAGCCACCCCATACAGAGTCTATATGTGAAAGATATCCACTATGATGTCACCAATTAGTTTTCAAGTCCAGCATGTTGTTGGTGGTGTTTGGAGCCAAGAATTGTTCACAGTGGTGCAACAGAATGAAGGGCTAAGTGCAAGCGTGTTTAGCAAACTGTATGAGAGCAAATTCATAATTAGCATAAACATGGATAAGTGCAATTAGTGCTCATCAAAACTGACGTATAAAAGCTTATTTTGTTTTTAAATGTTCTGTAGGAATCCAGTTATTTGGCTTTAATTGAGGTGTGGGCTTTAACATTAAGCCACAAGAAAATCTACATTTAAACACTAAAGCACATTTTGTACCAGGTTGTAAACGGGCTTTTTAATGCTATAAAGTTATGGGAGTATGACTCACACATGGTGCCAGCCTCATGTGGCCAGATGAGGAACTGCAGTTTTTGGCACTTCATGGTGTCCTGGTTTCTACATCCATTTTTTTCTATCTACTCTTTAATGATAACAAGCTAAAATAGATGTAGAGGAAAGATTTCAACCATGCAAAGTGGAGGCTGATTGGCTTAAAAAAAGGCAGGTGAGAAAATGATTGGACTAGAGTTATGATATCAGCATTGAGATGAACAGTGTGGTAAAGCAGTAGTCATGTAAAGAACAGAAAAGCAGGAAGATGAGTGATTGCAGATCTTTCTTACTGAACTTACCATACGCTTCATATTTTATTTATTTCGTGCTATTTTTGTTAAACTATTTCTATACATGTGCGTGGGAACATCTACCATGGGTGTGGGAAGAGTCAGAGCCACAACGGAGCCCACTAGACATTACTTCTCTTGCATTCAACATTTGCATTTCATGTAGATGCTTGCAGACACAGTTACATTTGTACCAAGGTGTACAAGGTGGCAGCACAGGGTGAAGTTACTGCACAATAGTCTTATCTTACTGTTTTTGGATTGCTCATATGTAATAAGAATATTACGGTTTTCTTGTCCTTCTGCATTGGCATACCTTTTCTACCTATTTCTCCACCTTCTGCTTTCTTTCTTTCTCCTCTGTTGGTGTGGGTGCGGAGGAGTTTGGTGTTACTCTGTGTGTTTCAGAGGTGAGGTCTTGCTAGCTCGCCTTCCTTCCTTGTTGGCGCATCTGCAAACAGTTTGGTAGGTACCCACCTATGTGCAATCTAATCAATAATTACCTGCTACTTAAGGCTGAAAAAAATCCCTCGTTGTTGCTAAATTGCTGGACTGATGTTCAGGTTCCTTGGTTCCTGATTAGAGCTGTTTTTGCTGTGGACTTTTTGTCATGACCTGGATCTGACTGTGGTTTTGAGCCTTTTAGGCTGTATTCTTTTTTTAGTGTTCATAATTTTATTATATCCATGTTACTGAATATTTGGAGTCCTTAGGTCCTGTTAGAATTTAGTCACACTTCTAGAGTTTGCATATATGTGTCTGCATTTCCCTTTTTAGTTATGTTTAGTCACTTCCTGTTTTATTTTGATATAGTCTTGTCTTTAATGTCTTAAGTTTAGTTTTATTTCTTCGCCTGTCTCATTGTCTTTTTTTTATTATTATCGCTTGCATCCAGTTTCCCTGCTCTGCCTACCTCCCCCAAGTCCCTGTCCATATCAGAATCAGAATCAGAATCAGAATGGGGTTTATTGCCAAATGTTGAGCAGGTTTACAACATTAGGAATTTGCTGCGGTGCTTCAGTGCAAACATAGTGTCATAAATAGCACTTAAATAGACATGGAAAAAAAAAAAAAAGTAGGGATAAGAATTAAAAGTGCTACGTGGAAAGATATGTGCATGAGATATACATGAGATATATACATGAGAATAAGAATTAAGAGTGCTACGTTGAAAGATATATACATGAGTGCAGGTGGTGATCAGTGCCAAACATGGCACATGTCCTCTTACCAAGATAAGATAAGAGATAAGATAAGATAAGATAAAACTTTATTAATCCCTCGGGTGGGTTCCTCTGGGAAATTCGGTTTCCAAAAAAGCACAGCACTGTCTGTATGTCTGCAGCACCGTCACCAGGCTTTGTTGTAGGTTGTCTCAACAAAAATATCTCTTCTGTCACCTGAAGTCTTCCCCAGTGGACAAATATCGATACATTGTCACCTAAAGCTGTCTTGTGTCTAGATGGATCCATTGTACTCAGATGTGTATTGCCAAACATCACTCACTCAACTAAATCATTGATTTCAGGTGTTCCAATCATTTCATGACCACAGGTGTATAAAAATCAAGCACCTAGCATGCAAATTGTCTCTACAAACTTTTGTGAAAGAATGAGTCGCTCTCAGGAGCTCAGTGAATTCCACTGTGGTATCGTGACAGGATGCCAACAACAAAACAAGACCAGCCCTGAAACTTCCTCACTACCATATATTCCACAGTCAACTGTTTGTGGCCTACCAACAAAGTGGTAGGTCCTCCAAACTTCATGTGGCCTTCAGGTTAGCTCAAGAACTGTGCATAGAGAGCTTTATGGAATGAGTTTCCATGGCAGAGCAGCTGCATCACCAAGCAGCAGCCTTATATCACCATGCGCAATGCAAAGCGTAGATAAAGTGGTGTAAAGCACGCTGCTAGTGGTCTAGAGCAGTGCAGATGTGTTCTCTGGTGTGAAAAATCTTCTTCATCTGGCAATCCGATGGTTTGGTTTTTGCCAGGGGAACAGCACTACTCTGACTGCATTGTGCCAACTGTAAAGTTTGTTGGAGGGGTGAGGTGTGTGGGACTGTTTTTCAGGAGTTGTTGTAGGAGTTTCATATTTCCAATGAAGGGACTCTTAATGTTTCAGCATACCCTATTATTTTGGATAATTTCATGCTGTGAAATTTGTGGGAACACTTTAGGGATGGCCCCTTCCTGTGCCAACATGACTCTGAACGAGTGCATGAAGCAAAGTCCATAAACACATGGATGAGTGAGTTCGGTGTAGAAGCACCTCACTGGCCTCAGTCCTGACCTCAATCCACCTCAGTTCTTCTTGTCCAACATCAGTGTCTGACCTCACAAATGTGCTTCTGGAAGAATGGTCAAAAATTCCCATAAACCCATAAAAATTACTTCCTAAACCTTGTGAAAAGCCTTCCCAGAAGTGTTGAAGCTGCAAAAGGTTGGCCAACATCATATCAAACCCTATGGATTAAAATGGGATGTCACTGAAGTTCATATGCTCATGTGAAGGTAGATGAGCAAATACTTTTGGCAATAATTATATTGCCAAAAGTATTTGCCAAAGGTATATCAGTTTATAGATTTTTAATGCTCCTGGTAGGCTGCTTGTTCTGAGTCACACTTGGCTGAAAGGTTGTGACCCCCCAAAATTAACTGGGATTCAAATTAGATTATTGGGTAGAGCCTTCATTGCCATGAATTTTGTCTACAGTCTGCTTCCCCTCCAGGTTTGAGTGTGCTGCATCCTCCAGCACAGATTCTACATATCTTTCAATCAATCCTGCAGAATATCATGATTTGGAGAAAGTTTTCCTTAAAGATTTGGTAAACTGCTCCCCACGAATTATCGCCACAGCCTCATCACACCAGGACATGATGTAATGGGAAAATATATCCATTACTCCCTGGCTGCTGGTATCATCCGGCCTTCAAGACAAAACTCTGTATCAACTTGACAAGACTCTTCTTCGGCATTAATTTCCAAGGTCTGAACCAGATCACTGTTAAAAGAAAAATCTCTTTTATCTTTTCCAACTGTTTTTAAATATTGCAAGGAGCCACTGTCTTTCCAAGGTTAGACTTCCTACCACCTGGTCCACGTCAAGGAAGGAAAATACTGGAAGACAACATTTAACTCATTTGGGTCACTTCAAGGACCATCGGATTTACCAATGCTCCAGCTGTTATCCAGGTGTTGGTGAATGATGTGCCTTGAGAGTTCCTCAACCGCTCCATACTAATCTGTCTGGATAATATTCCCATCTTGTCTCACACTATTTTGGACCATTAACGCCATGTTTATCAGGTACTCCAAAGATTACTTGAGAGCAGACACTACGTTAAGGGTAAGAAATTGAAGTTTCATGTTGAAGGTGTACTCAGCCAAGGTTCAAGCAGTGATGGAGTGGCCAGACCCCACAAGTCAAACAGTTGCAACACTTCATAGGGTTTCCTAACTTACTGGAAGTTCAGAGATTTCGGTAGACTTGCCCTACCTCTCACGAGTCATGGAATGCTGCAGCCCATCAAAAGCATTTAACACTCTCAAAGGACGGTTTCCCCAACTTCAGTTTTGATTGGGCCAAGAGTTGCCCTCTCACAGCAACTGAACAACAAAATATAGTTAGCTCGCTAGTTTCCATCTAAATATAATATACCATGTTCTGACTGAGGGATTTTCGAAACAAATTAAGACGTATACTGTAGCTCTGCTATCACTTTCAACATAAATGAAGACAGTAAAGTAAACAGCAGTGACATTTGTAGAGTTACTGAAGTTAGGCTAGCTAGTACATGATCGCTAGTGACACAGTTATGTTAGCATAATTAAAACAGTGAAGCTGGAGGATGAACGC